CAAGTGCGTGCAGAGAAGCTTGTACGTTTTATAATTTAACTTTTTATATACCCAGTGAATGTACATGGACGATTTCTTAATACCAGAGAAAAAAAAACAATTAATTACACAGGAATTACCCTTCTTAACATTGAAAAACTAGTTATATCGACATTTCAAGTCATTCAAAATCCTTGAAAAAGGATTTTTTATCTCAACTGAAAAAAACAACGTTTCCGTACACTCAATAATTAAAATGGGGAAACAATCCTGCCCCACCTCAATGTCCTTGTTATGGATATGATGCCATAAAAAATGTTTAACGAATAGGAAAATTGTGAGTTACTTACGCACTTATGTGTTTACGCTCCTTCACTGTGATACGATGAGGATTTTATTACGCCTGTTATAAATGGCAAAAGGTATTTTATATCAACCCATTATCCCTGCTAAATGGTCAACGCATGCGGGGCTTCAGTGTAATTTGGTTTTAATCTCTCCACATGGTCCCGACAGGTCAAAGAATTCCTGGGAGGGCAGTAAAGTGCTTCGAGGAGAATTTCCTCTCGCAAAATTTAATATTCGGGATTATTCTTGGAAATATTCATCAATTTTCCTTCATTTATTTTGATGGATTCAAGCGCATGTTGAAGGCTCTAAGGGGATCTGCGAGTACAGGGAAGATTAACCGGAGAGGATTTATCATTTACTATGTATCGCGCTTTATTTATACATGCATTCATTAAATCCATGATTTGAAAATTCACTGAAATCTAACCCTGTTTTTTACCCGGGGTAATTGAATACAAAATGATAACATATTTATGCATTTCCACATTTCACTTCGGAGAATTTCATGTGAAGTTGGAAACAAAGAATCATTTATGTGCGAACGGATTCCATTTACGCTCTGAAAATTTTGACGTAATTTTCATTCCAACGGAAAATCAATAATGGAGTTGAAACTGAGAAAGCCTTTCGAATGTCATGCATTGTATTAGAATTGAATATTATTTCAACATTTTCATGTTAATTGTGATGAATTTTTCACTTTTGATTGATACATACTTGAATTTTCTACATTATTCCGTGGAATTGTACATGAGATTCATTATTTTCGTATGGAAATTCAGGTGGATCCATTAAATACATGATTTGAAAATTCAGTGAAATCCAATTTTTTTTTACCCGAGGGAACGGAATACAAAATCATAAAGTATTTATGCATTTCTATTTGCATTTCTAATTTTGACGTAATTTTTATTCCAACGGAAAATCGATGATGCACTGAGAGAAAAATATAATTCTTCTGACTACATTCCATCACCATCGAATTATAGTCAAAAACTCCTTAACAATTTTTCATGGGTTACGGTAACTATGGCCGGAGAAGTAATTACTACAATAGAATGTCGTCATTGCAACTATTTTACAGTTCTACTCACGACAGATTTGTCGTGGTTACTTTTGAACTTTGGTTAGTTTCACTGCATTTTGATTTGCAAAAATTACGCTTGTGAAGTTACTATAATGTTATGTGCCGCATAAAAAAAAAACCGTATCGTTCACCAAAACTGCCTCAACTATTTTCTTATTGTAAATCGAACTTCAGATGTTTCTCTCAGTATGGAGCTGAAACTGAGAAAGCTTTTCGAATGTCGTGCATTGTATTGATATTGAATATTATTTTAACATTTTTATTTTAATTGTGATGAATTTTCCACTTTTAATTGATAGATGTTTGAATTTTCTACATCATTCCGTGGAATTGTACATGAGATTCACCATTTTCGTATGGAAATTCAGAAATTCAGATGGATTCATTAAATCCATGATGTGAAAATTCATTGAAATCTAACAGTGTTTTTTACCCGAGGGAACGAAATACTAAATGATAAAATATTTATGGATTTCCACATTTCACTTCGGAAATGAATTTCATGTGAAGTTGGAAACAAAGAATTATTTATGTGCGAACGGTTTACATTTACGCTCTGAAAATTTAGACGTAATTTTTATTCCAACGGAATATCGATGATGGAGTTGAAACTGAGAAAGCCTTTCGAATGTCATGCATTATATTAATATTGAATATTATTTCAACATTTTCATATTAATTGTGATGAATTCAGCAGCATAAAGATGAGAATTCCTTAACTTATTTGAATTTTCAATCTAATATGAATATTCAGTGTCAAATTGCATTGAATTTTCAATGACATTATTTCCTGAAATTTTAGTGGAATCGGAACATGATAAAAATTTTCGGAATTTGGCACGGAAAATTCAGACAAAAATTTTTAACATTGGACCGTCGCGGGGCTCTACTCGGAAAAGACTTCAAAATAGATTTTCTTTTAATGGAAGAATTCGGCTCGATCATAACGAGAATATGGGCCATGTAGAAAAGCATTTTCCCGAGGAGGCGAGAGATGTACAGAAGGGAGCAATAGCCCACTTATTCAGTCTTTCCGAGTTTCACAGCACCTTCAAGGAGGAAATAAAATACGCGAAATTCTCCACTCAAAAATGTTGAGAAATGTCAGCATACCGTAAATTCAGGCGGATTCAAAGAACGCGAATGACGGAACTAAACAAAAAAACAAACTTTTTTTCCCTTATAAATGGCATTTATTTGGGGTATGAAAATTCACGAGTGTCGTTTTTCTACTTCTTTCCCCCGAAAACGTGAAGGCGAAAGATTTGACGAGAACGGGCAATTCGTCTCGTTCCTAAAAATTCTGAAGTATGGTCTCTTAATTATAACGAGGAGGAAATTGCTCTTGCATTGCATATAATATAGTAATTTTTCCTTCTATCATGTATAATTTATTGTTTATTTCATTTTATTAAATTGAATAAGATTTCTTTTCAACTAATTTTGTCAGGTTTTCAACTTAATTGAAGGTTATTTTCATAATTATTCTTATTATCTCTTTCTTCTATAGAATCGATTGTCTTTTTTACAGTTTTGTGGGTCCTTTCAGCCCTTCTATAAAAAGTGAATATAAAAATTTTATTTATACATACTTGAATGAATTTGAAATTTACATTTGATGAAACCATCAGAATGCTCAATTTCCAGAAAATTCATGAAAAATTCTCAAAATTTTTCAAAAATCATTATAAGAATCATTCGTCGTTACAGAAAAATTACACGAAAAATTGAAGCAATCATTCACGCTTAATGGGATCCTATTTGCTAAAGATGGAAGAAAGGTGAAATTGTGTTATATCGAAATATCTCGAAACTGCCTGAGCGCTAATTCTCAACTCTGATTGGTCAATGAGTCACGTGAAGTAGTCGCTGAAAAAAATCCCCGGTATTTTCAAATTCGTCAAATGCCAAAAATTTTTTCTGCGTCATGTTTTTCATTTTTTCATGTGTGAAGCATATCTTTATATCAAAACATATTTAAATTGCCTGATTGTTGATCATGAGAAAAAAACAGTATTTCTCAATTTTTTAAACTCACAAATTATCCTTCACTTCCCAAATTTCAATTTTTTCATATTTATCATACGCAAAAATGATCAATTCTTGCTTCTGAGATTTTCATACATAAATTCTAAACTCTACAAAATTTATGAAAATTGCTCGGTTTCCGAAATAATTCGAGAAAAATCTTTAAAGATCTACGGTTATCCAGAAAACCGTAAAATTTCCCGAAGAATTCAAGAAATTTCTCCAGTTTTCTAGGAAATCAATTCATAACCCTGCCCTTATTTTTCAACAATTACAGGTTTTAATCAGATTCTTTTAGAAAGTAAAAAAAGAATTCAGTAGCGAAGTGGTAAACCGGTATATAAGTCGTTTTGACTATTGGCCAGTTTTCAATAAATATCTCGGACTCTAAGGGAAATAGCGAAATTATTGTCATTTTCGTTTTTGTAGCTCTCAATTTGCTCTACAAAAAAGGTTATGACAAAAGTTTTGCTATTTCCCGTAAATTTTGAAATATTCATTGAAAACTGGGCAATAGTCAAAATCGACTTATACCGGTTTACCACTTCACTACTGAATTAATCGATGATTAAAAATTATTCATTGAAGTTTCACTCTTCATTTTCTTGATTCTGTTTAAATCATTATCAATTTTTATAAAACATCTATGAGTGTATGAAGTTTAATAAATTCGATTTCTTCATTTTCACAACAAATAGATAAGCGCGCGCGAAAGCGCGCGCACAGCTCTAGTAATTTTAAAAATTCACTATTATTCTCGCACATTTTCTTCTATTTAAGGTGAAAAAGTACTGGAAATCGAGATTGCTCCACGATTACTTGACTTGTTTGATAATTTTTCCCCAATTTTTTTCCCTATGTCCATTTCCCATTAATTTCTTCATAACACTGTCAATTTTTAGTGAAAGAATTCCTTGAAATTTCAATGGAACATTCACTTGCCAAAAACTTCCACCAAGTGTCCTGAAAATTTCCGCTAGAAATGTTCAGCATTAAATTTATTAATGAAAACAGGATAACAGGATTCAGTATCGAAGTGATAAAACGGTTTAAGTCGACTTATCTCCCAGTTGAGTTTTTGAGGAATATTTCCGAATCCAACGGAGATAGCGAAATTTTCGTAATGACATTTCTTGTAACCCTCAATCGGTTCTCCAAAAAAGGTTATAACAAAAATTTTGCTATCTCCCTTAGATTCCGTGATATTCATTGAAAACTGGTCAATAGTCGAAATTGACTTGTACCGTTTTACCAGTTTGCTACTGAATTTTTTTCATTCTCAAAGTTACAATCCTCACAATTCTTATAATTCTCAAAAATCCCATCTTTAATTGAATTCGTGGAATCCTCCAATTTAGAGGAGAAGCGATGCAGGAGTCCTTACGAAGGGGCTCGAGGGAACATTGGACGGAGCAGGCGCCTCTTGTGATGCTGCAGTTCCGAGGGAAACTGAGAAGCAATCACGCTCAGAGCCACGCGAGCGGCCCCATCAGACGTATCCCCCGCTCTATCGCGCGGTTTATCAGATATAAAAGTCACTCGATAACGCGCGGAAATGTTTCACTATCGGTTTAATGATGTTGTTGTGGGAGTGAATTACATCGTTTTCATGATCACTGCGTTTAATGCTCCCTTCGGTGAGTCAGCTATCAATTATCAAGTGCTAATTCCGTTGATTTTTCATGCTTTTGATGAATGATGTGCATTGTTTTCGTGAAAACAATTTCTCTCCGGGGATTTATCAGGAGAGATTTGTTTGTATTCTTTTGTTGATTGTCGGGGGGTGATGGAGGTTCACGGATTTTTACAGAGGAGTTCTTCGAAATATTGAGAAATTGTTTGTGAACTGATGAGTTGATAGTTTCTGCACTGAGTTGGGGGGTTAGAAACCAAACATTTTCCTTCAATAATGCAATCATCTTCATTATAACTCATTCTAGATGAGTGTTGAAAGAGCTTGTTTATATTGTTGCGAAATGGAATGGCTGAACCTATCCCCTTTCTCTCTTTTGGAAAATACACGGAGAAAATTATTTGGTGAATTTCACCAACTACACGCAGATAAATATTCAGTAAAAATGACGGAACAGTTCACGTAATCCGCAATGGGGAATCGTTTTCCGATAATTTTTATAGGAATGGAAGAGAAGAAATCTGAAACGTTCAGTGAATTCTCAGGTTCATCACCGAACAAAGTACGAACTTGTCACGTAATTTTTCCCGAAGAGGTAAAATCTTACAGAAACTTGCCGACTTATTATGCCTCCACACTGAGAGAAAAATTTATTTCTCCCAAGAAAAACAGAGAAAATTTTCTTGACACAAGTAATCAAATGGAGGTTTTGTATGGGACAGTTGAATATTTACTTGTGATAAGAAAATTTATTTCTCACAAACAAATTTTTTTCTCAGTGCAAAATCAAAAATTCTTGAACGTTCAACAATTTTTATGAAGCTGGTGAGTTATTTCTACGTTCCGTTCCGTAAAATTTCTCAATCGTTGGGGAAAAATTACGGAACGACTTGTTGTCCCCACAGCGGTGAGTCATCAGGCGACTGGTTAATTTTTACGGAACAAATCGTAGAATTTACGTGGCGATTCGTACAATTTTAGTTCCGACTCACAGTTTTTATTGAATTTTACTTCGCTCGCAGATTACGTTTCGAAACGTAATTTTTACGTTTTTTCTGGTAATTTTTATTGAATTTTTCTCTCGTTGTAGTTGGTAAATTTCACCAATTAGTTAGTGGAATTTAACAGCTATTTAGTTAAAATTCGAGAAGATTTTTCAATTTCATTCGACAACCATTTGTTAAATTCTCAATAAACGTTCGTCGATTTATTTGATGAATTCAATTTAACAAGGAATTGTAGATTATTGCGGGAGGTATTGATCGATTGTTACGATATAAGTGATTCCGGGATTGTTTCCAAATGTATACATGCCCTCACCATCTAGTTTGGCAGTTAAAACTGATTGAATGAAATTGAAAAATGTTTTCTGAATTTTAATGAATTAGTTGGTAATTCACTAATTGGTAATTCATTTTTTCAATAACTAATTGGTGAAATTTAACAACTAATTAATTAAAATTCAGAAAAGATTCTTCAATTTCCTTCAATCAATTTCGCCAACTAGTTGGTAATTCATTTCTTCAACAACTAGTTATTGAAATTCAACAAATAATATTCTCCGTGTAGAAGAAAGTTGATTTTCTATTGATTGATCTGAAAAACTGTCCATAAATGCGCCCCTTCGATTTATTCTGAATTATTATTACTTTAAAAACTCTTCTAAAACATGATCTCGTGATGTTTTCTTCAAGAACTGACTCATTCTCGGGATGATTTCATGACTGATTTCCCCTGAAGAGATTTTCTGTGAGAAATCACTCATTATCGAGATACTAAAATAATTAATAGAACTTGATTATTAGCCAACTTATTTCATTCTACCATTTGAACACTGATCCAGTCGAGTTTGTTGAAATCGAACTTTTTCCATTAGTTGAAAGGCTCGAGTGAATTGAATAATGATGAATTCAGCTGTTGAAACCAGAGCCATGCCCAAACAAACTTCTCCAGTTCATACAATTGGAACCCGTTCATAAACGGAAACTAATTGCAACAAAAGTTGGAAAATCATTGCAGTGTTTATGCGGGAACACGTCGAAGTCTTTCACGTTTATTTTTGTTGAATTCAAGATATTTCACTCGTTAGTATTTCCGCGCGATTTTTTCTCAGGAGTTTGATTTTGTGGGGGAAAATTGTCCCCGGTCACTCAAGATTAGGGTTTCAAATTGGTTCTAATCGAAATTGGAATAACGAGTGAATAACATTGAAAGTAACGATTTGAGGAACGAAAATTTGTGATCTTATTTACAAAACTATTTAAAAAAATACGTTGAGAATTTTTTGAAAATAGATTTTTTGATTTAAAAAAAATTCAATCATAACCCTCGATTGGCCTATGCCTCGCGTGTTAGATGCCTGGATTTCATTATTTATTATTTCCCAAAGTGTGTTGTAGAGCTATAGCTATAGCTCTAATACATGTGATTCAAAAGTCAGGTGAATGTTCCGGAACTCTAATAGAATGGAATTGAATATAAGAATAAATATATAATCTTGAAATAAATTGCAATGAAAATTATAGTATAACATTGTTTTTGTTTCATTACTCAAATTTGAAAATTAATACAAAAAAAATTCACAAAACATCCATGAGAATATTCGGATGAAACCGCATTATTTTTACCAAATTATCGGAAAAAAGTGGTAAAATTGGAATTTCACTATGACAAAATTACAATAGTTTGAGGCTGTAAAATTTTGATAATCTCGGTATAATGTATTGTTAAATTACAGCAGGTAAATGTAGTAAATTTACAACACGAAAACTTCTGTATGCGAATATTCATCTTTTGTTGGAGAAAATTCTTATACGATACCTGAACAAAAGTGTTGTAATTTTACCACACTATGTGTGAATACAACTTCCAATATTTTTGTTAGAAATTCGGGTCAAATTTTGTTAACAGTGTAGGTAGCATTTTTTTCAATAGCTCGGGACTATTAAGGACCATTAAACATGGGGATAATCTTAAGAAAAACGTATTCTCTAGGGACATACCTTGAACAATTTTTTCTTCAGCCATTCTTACAAATTGGAAATTTCAGATTTGACGCAGACAATGATTGCAGACAATAATGAAATTTCAGATTTTATTACACGGAGAGAAATTTTCTAGAAAAATTCTAGTACGAGTACTGGAAAAAATCACAATCCATCAGCTGTGAAAAAATCTAGTGCTGTTAAGGTAAAATTTCTTGGTATTTCTGGTAGAATTTCTGGGGATTTCTGTGAAATTTTCACAGAAATATGGGGAAAAATTCACGTTTTCCTTAATAAAATTTCTAGTGCCGGCACTGGAATTTTTTCCTGGCCGTCACTTTGCGCCTCTTTTCCCGTGCTAGCACTAGAATTTTTCTAAAAAATTTCTCTCCGTGTAAAACTTCAATGAAATTTCCCAAAATTTTAGAGCATCTGTATTGTCATAAAAATTTCCACCAATGAAATACACTTCTCCAACCTTTTTCCTTCATTTCCCAAATAAAGACAGATTCCGCAGATCTCGAAAAAATATCCACCCGCAAAAAGCCCCTTTCCTCGACCTTAATTGAACATCTCACAACAAAAAAAACTAGTCGAAAAAAAACTGAACCTAGTTAAGAAGGTGGTTCGAACCCGCCCCCTGCAATTTCCTTTAAATGTAAAGATCCGCTCCGAAACTTTAGGATCAAACTCGAGAAGACAAAGTGCGGAGGTTTCTTCGCTCTCCATCCTCGTCTTTATTGAACTAGTGGTGTACAAGTAGAATAGAAAAAGGAAAATGAAGAAAAAATGAGGGAAGAATTGAGGAGTTGGGGTGGGGATGACGGGTATGAGGGAACATTCATGCTCCTGAACCTGATTACACGAGAGAAGAGGAGAGTGTGCCGGTTCTTTGTCGAAAATTTCCAACGATGAAGTTACTGACGAGAATCCGGAGAAACAAGCGCACTGAACTTGAATGCTTCATCACTAATTGGTTAACTATCAAGTGGTCTGGTTGAATTATTATACAGGGCTCAGGCCGTGGTTGTAAAAGTTGAATGTACCACTAATTATAGGAGATTTCATTATCAATTGATCTGGCTGATTGGATACAATTCCACTTTTAAAAAAAGATTGCAACATTTTTTTCCGCTATGCTTAAAGTAGCTCTACCCTTACGGTAAATTCAAAGATTATTGAAAACTGCAAAAAAATTGCAGAAAACTCGATTAGATTCGGAATTCTAATTTTTTTCTCAATTTATTTATCGTTTTGGTTTTTCAAAGAAGACATGTTTAAAAATCTGGGTTTAACCCAGTGTCTTCTGTGAAAATCAACATTTCCATTGTAATCAAAGATTAAAATCTGAATTTTTTTTCATTAGATGTGAAAAAATCACGAATTTTTTTGACACGTCGTAAAAAATAATCGACCGTTTTGCAAACAAGTTTTATTGTTTATTCATAAGAGGGAAATGTTTAAAAAAATATCAATATTTTTCGAAATTTAATTTAGATAATACTGATTGGGTATGAATTTTTTCAAATTTTTTCCATGCAATTTAGTTGAAACATTTAAAAACTGAAAATATCCAAAAGTACAGCGTAGCCCGGCCGAAGGGTAGAGCTACTTTAAGAGGGTCCGAATGTAGAATTACTTGACAGAACGAAGTGATACACAAAATTTTTATGACATTTCAAATGATGCTAATAAGGTAAATGTACCTACGCTCGTCCCTGTCCCTATGCTCGTTCCGAAGTCGCGAGCTATCACATTTTAGTCATTTTGACAGTCCCAAGAATCTATTAAGAGTGAAATACAATTGGAGTTATTGTTTTAGTTGATAAGGAAAGTTATCGACACCAATGAACGGTAATTTATTGAAGAATAAAAGAGAAAAATCCTATTCACATCCACTGGTGCTACGACAGAGTGAATTCTTAAGCCGCAAGTTAAGAAACTTACAATTAAAAAATGTTGACATCTCCGTCATACTCGTAAAATGGGATTAAAAACCCTTTGACTGATGTTTCGGATA